AGCGTGAGCACGTGTGTGCGATCAGGTGTGGGACGGCAGCGTGAGCATGTGTGTGCGATCAGGTGTGGGACGGGCAGCGGTGAGCATGTGTGTGTGATCAGGTGTGGGACGGCAGCGTGAGCACTCCTGTACGTGTACACGCATGTCTGATCACACATGTGACGGGCACACACGTGCAATGGACATACGTGACAGCTGGACGGTGGGGCAGCACAAGGCCATGGTGGGTACAGCCGTGACTCTGCCGGGTCTGGCCTTCGTGTGGCCATATGGAGCCACAACAGGTGGGCCCCGTGTCTGCCGCCCACCAGGCCCGCCCTGCCACAGCCCCCCTCCGCGGGCACTACCTGCACGGAGTTCTTCCCCAGGGCGACCATCTCAAAGAGGGTCACCTCTGTGGTGATGGCCACGTTCTTCCTGCGGTGCTTCCGTGGTGGCCGCCCTCGCCGGCGGGTGCCGGGTCCGCTGGCATCCTGGCCCCCCGAGGGCGCTCCCTGTGCCTAAAACCAAAGGAGGCTGTGACGGGGCTACACCCCACCCCAGAAGCCCGGTGTCCGAGAGATGGGCAAGGACGTGGCCCTGGGCCGGTACACGGGTCGCTGTCCAGTGCAACACGGTTGACGGGAACAGGGGCCACACAGGAGAGACCCCACGGCACACCTGGGCGTGCCCCTCCCCCACCATGTCTTCATGGCCTTTGTATCCAACAGATCTGGGCTCCGCAGGGCCTCCCCTGCACCAGCCAGAAGCTGTCCCTGCTCACCTGAGACAATGGGCGGGGAGCGGGGCCTCCCACCTGGAAGGGGGGCCCCCGGAAGGGAGAGCAGGGGGACAGACCTTCCACCCCAGGCAGGAGGCCTCAACGCCATGGCACAGGGAGGGGACACTAAGCCCGATGCAAGGAAGTGGACGCTGTGTCTGTGGATGGGGAGGGGACGCCGCGTCTCAGGACAGGGAGGGGACAGAGGACGCCGTGTCTCAGGACAGAGAGGACGCGGTGTCTCAGGATGGGGCGGGGGACACGGTGTCTCAGGATGGCCAGGGGACGCCGTGTCTCAGGACAGAGATGATGCCGTGTCTTAGGATGCAGCGGGGGACGCGGTGTCTCAGGATGGGGCAGGGGACACCGTGTGTCAGGATGGGGAAGGCACACAGTATCTCAGGACAGGGATGGGACACCATGTCTCAGGACAGGGAAGGCATGGGGTGTCTCTGGACCAGGGGGCGGGGGGTGGGGGAACCACACACTATTTGAGAATGGAAGAAGGGATGCCGTGTCTGTGGATGGGGATGAGGATGAAGCCCTTGAGGACAGGGGAGGGGACACTCTGGCTGAGGACAAAGGAGGGGACCCAGTATCTCAAAATGGGGAGGGGATGCGGTGTCAAAGGAAAAGGAGTAGACGTGGTGTCTGAGGACAGCAGATGGGACGCGGTGTCTCAGGACATAGGAGGGGACACCGTGTCTCAGGACAGGGAGGGAACGCGGTGTCTCAGGACATGGGAGGGGACCTGGAGTCCCAGAACAGAGGAGGGGACACCGTGTCTCGGGACGGGGATGGGACGCGGTGTCTCAAGATGGGAAGGGAAAGGCCCTGGTGGTCCCATGGGGCCCCAGTGGACTTGTGCTTCGACGGGCAGGCCGTGCAGGGAGGAAGACCTCCAGGATCCACGTGTGAGCTGGCCGGTGCCCAGCCTGATGTGGAGAAGCACGTCACAGTCCCCCAGCCCGTGCAGCCCTCCCAGCAGTGGTCAGTACCAGGATGGAGCACCTCCTCCTGGCCATCACCTCAAAGACGGTCACCACGGAGATGAACTGGCCAGCCTGATTCCTGAGCCTCCTGCACGGACGCCGCCCTCGTCGTCGGGGTCCACTCCCACCGGCATCCCGGCCCCCCGAGGGTCCTTCCTGCACCTACAATCAGAAAGTGGGATGTGAAGAGCCGGGAAACGCTGACAGCCGGAGGCCAGACGAATGACGGGACCCCGGCAGTGCAGGACGAAGGCAGCATGGCCAGCAAGCGACTGCTCCAAATGCCGGTCACCACCAGGGGCCCGAGGCGAGGAGGACGGCGTCCCACATCACCCACTGCTACTGAAGGACAGAGGCTCCGGCAGACCTTCCGAGGCTCGCCAGGTCCTCAACCGAGCGCTCATACACCGCACCGGCCTCCCCTGCACCTGCATCCCCATCCGTGTCCCTGCCCATGTCCACACCCTGACACACCCAGTCCACGGGCTGCAGCCACGGCCACGGACCACCAGTGTCCGGGGGACAGAAAGCCATTGTGAAGCCAATCCCAAGGGCTGTGTCTCAGGGCTATGCGGTATCCATCACCCCCCCCCCCCCCCGCAATCAGAGCCCAGAATGGAGATGGGGAGCTCAGGTTGGTGACCGGCAAGGTTGGGGGAAGTCAGTCCCCTGGGACAGGTGACCAGCTCTCTCTGTCCTTAGTGGCGGGTGGTGCCCCAGGGCTCATCAGAAGCAGGACTGAAACCACCACAGCCTCGAGGGGCACAAGGAGGGTAGCCCAAAACCAGGGGTCAAAGGTACACACAGCCGAACAAGGGGGCACGAGAGAACCCGGAGTCATGTGCAAAGATGGTGGAACCCAGAATCACTGAGACAGTGAAACCTGGGGGCCTTGGCAGAACCTGGGGCCACATATGCAGACAGCGGAACCTGAGGATCACTCAAGAGCACTCGGCCCAGGAGCAGCGTGACCTTCCCTATTGGGCCGCGGCTACTTCAGGAGGACCAGCAACGGACCCCGTGAGAGACCTAGGGCCATGCCTCCCCAGACCCAAGGCTCCCCGTCCACTAAAGTGCAACCACCCAGGGCGTGCTGACACCGTGAGCCCTCGAGGGCCATGGAGGGTGTGCAGGACAAGCGCCCCTGCAGCACTGCACCCCCACACCGTGGGCCTCTATGACACCGTCTTCATCACCGAGAACATGCTAGGCCAGGCTGGCTCATTGCCACCGAGAACGCCACGGCAACACACACGTGGTCCCATGCGGAGGAGCCCCACACGGACACGTGTGCCACTAAAGACCTTGCCTCAGGAACACGCTCTCCCGCGTCTTCAGGAAGACAAAATCGCAAATGTACACGTACACGCAGAGAGACAGCAAGAGAACACACGCCCAGCGTGATACCAACGTGAGGCCTCGGCGCGAAAGAAAAACACTCACTGTGTCCTGTTTTTGCAAAGTCTTTTGTCAGTCTGTAACACTTTCGGTAAGAAAGTCTGAAGTTTGGCTCCGGGTACCTGTCATCCCCGGGACGTAGCATGAACTGGCTTATTCTTTACTTTGCCTTGAAATATCTACACGGCTCCCTGTTTCCTATCCTACGTGATGCTGCAGAAAATGCCTTTCATCATTTCAGATTTTAGCCCATTCTCGGGTGCTAATGAGACAAGTAGAGATCGCAGGTACAAGTCGCTCCGTGGGGCGAGCAGCACCTCCCCAGGCAGTAAGAAGCGCTGGGCAAGAGTCTCCTTCCCTACCCAGGGCGGGTGTTCCTTCCACACCTGCATCCACACGGGGCCCAGAACGGGGCAGAGCTGAGTACTACGATCCCGCAATATCTTGGAAAGGCGAGTCTGTGCAACAAACAGGCCAAGAAAACAAAAGTCATCACATCGGGAAAGAAGGCATAAAATTAGCTGTGTTTGAGAATGACGCCACTGGCTATACAGGAAATCCCAAGAGATGAAGCAAACTATCTCCTCAAACTCAAAAGTGAATTAATAAGCAAGGCCACGGAATACAAGGTCCGTGTGACAAAATCAATCCTATGTCTATAAACAAGCGATGAAAAACTGGACATGGACAGTAAAAACAACCAAAACCCGTACCGATCACAATGGCTCCTCAGAAATGAAAAGGATATCAATCTAACAAAATACGTGTAGGGTCTGCGTACTGAAAACTAAAAAAAAAAAAAAAAAAAAAAAAAATCAAATGAGACCTTCAGAAACACTGAGCTACACCATGTTCACGGAATGAAAGGGAGACTTCGGACCATGCTAGAACAGCCGGGACTTCCATACCCCACTCTCTGTAAGGGACAGAAGAACCACACCGAAGATGCGTGAGCACAGGAAGGATATAACGCACCAACCAGGACGCGGTTACGGAACCCTCCGCCAGCAACGGCACACGTCTTCCACTCGTGAGCGCTCAGAACACTTCCCAGAACAGGCCACACGCGAGCCCACAGAGTCTTCACAGATTTCACAGTGTCTGCTCTGACGACAGTGGTGTGAAGTTAGAAATCAGTAACAGACCAAAAACTGGAAAAGTCAGAGAACTGTGGAAGTTAAAACACGTACCCTGAAAGAATGAGTGGATCTAGGGCACCTGGGTGGCTCAGTCAGTTAAGTCTGCCTTTGGCTCAGGTCATGATCCTGGAGTCGTGGGATCGAGCCCCATGCTGGGGTCCCTCCTTACTGGGGAGTCTGTTTCATCCTTTTCCTCTGTCCCTCCCCCTGCTCCTTCTTTCTCTCTCTCCCCCTCCCTCTCAAATAAGTAAATAAGTAAGTAAAATGTTTTTTTTTAAAGAACTAGTGAATCAGAGAAGAAATCACAGGGGCAATTAAAAAATACTGCGGGACAAATAAGAATGAAAACAGAATGTAAGTAAAAGTCAACTAGTGCTCGTGGGACATCCGCAGCTGTAAGTGCTGACCCTGAAATCAAGACAGATCCCGGACCAAGTTTACACCTCGAGGAACAAGAAGAAGGACAGACTGAACCCAAAGCTAGCAGAGGGAAAGGAGTCAGAAAGAAAGAGAACTGAGATAAACACATCAGATAATAGAGCGCCGAGAAAACCAACGCAACCCAAAGTTGGTTCTTCTGAAGCGTACCAGAATTAAGAAAACTTTAGCTTAGATGGACTGCAGACTGAGAAACGGGACAGCCGACATGCAACGGACAAGTCTCCAGAAACACAAACCCTGGCAAGAGGAAGTCGGACACAAGTAGGAAATCTGAACACCCCCGTACCTAGGAGGAGACTGCATCGGTCGTCAAACTCTCCCGAGAAGCCCTCAACATGCGCTGGCAGAGGAATTGTGCCATTTTAATCCTACCATTTTGTCGACCGCATTTTCAGGGGAACTCATCCCAGCGCTTCTCAAACTCCTCCAAACGCTGAGGCGGAGGGACCACTTCCCAACTCATCCCAGGAAGCCAGCAATTTCCTGGTCCCAGAGCCAGAGAGAGACCGTACGAGGAAACTACAGACAACGTCCCTCATGGACACGGATGCGAAAACCGTCAACGGAACACCAGCACCGGAACTCAGCGGCACGTTCGCAGAGCGCCCACCACGACCGAGCGGGATGTCCTTCTGGACTGCAAGGTTGCTTCCACACACAAAACCGGTCCGCGGCGGGCACCACATCAACAGGATTAAGGAAAAGTATCACACGACCAGCTCGCCTGATTCAGAAAGACGGACAGAATTCAACGGCCTCTCGTGATTCACACGCGCAAGAAGCAGCGGAGAAGAGGAGAAGCCGTCCGCGCTACCCAAGCCGTCATGAGAAGCCCCGTGAAAACCGTGTCCAGGGTGAGCGGCGGGAAGGGGTTTCTGCAAGAGGACGAACAAGGCAAGCACGTTCACTTGGGCACTTCTACGGTACGCGGCAGGGCAACGGAGGGCAGGGACACGGGCCCGGCCGCCACCGCCAGACGAAAGAGAGAAAACCGTCCACACTGCACTGGAAAGAGTCACACTACTTTGCAGGTGCCGTACTTTTGCATGTAGAATCCTAACCATTCCAGCCGCGCGCGCACGCACAGACGGGGGGACCAATACACATAGAGTGGCAGGAGGCCTCGTCAACGCCCCGCCATCAGCTGCGTGTCCACGCACCGTCGTGAGCAATCTGGAAAGGCAGGGACAAAAGCGATTCCACGGACGGTAGCATCACGCACAGTAAACTACGTAGGGACTGACTTAACCCAGACGGCCAAAGACGCAGGTGACGAGAAGTACGACGCGCGGCGGGGAGCACTGAAGACGACACAGGTCCATGGGAGACGGCCCATGTTCACGGACAGGAACACGCCCGAGCAGTAAAACGTGAACACAGCCCCCGTCACCTAGAGTCAGCAAGACCCCAACGGACTCCTCAGCACGCGCGCTTCTAGAATGAGCAAGCTGCCTCTAAAACTGGCACGGGAAGGAAGTGAACGCGGACCACGAAGCGGCAGCGTCCACACGATCGAACCCCAAACCTGCGTGCAAAGCGACAGTGCCGGAGACTGCGTACGACTGGCTAAAGCACGGTCCCACGGAGCAGGGGCATGGACGGAGGCCAGAAGGAGCACCCTATAAACACGGGCTAGCTGCATTTTTGTAAAGTTGCAAAACGGGGCGCCTCGGTGGCTCCGTCTAGTTAAGCGTCGGCCTGCAGCTCGGGTCAAGATCCCGGGGTCCCGGGATGGAGTCCTGCGTCGGGCTCCCTTATCGGCAGGAGGCCTGTCTGTCCCTGTCCGGCTGCCCGGGCTTGTGCTCCCTCTCTCGCTGTGTCTCTCTCAAACAAATAAAGTTTTTAAAAAAATGAAATAAAATAAAAACAAACCTGAGGGATAGACTATAATGTGCTCAAACACAGTAGCGAACAGGGGCGCCTGGGTGGCTCCGTGGGTTAAGCCTCTGCCTTCGGCTCAGGTTATGGTCCCAGGGTCCTGGGATCGAGCCCCGTATCGGGCTCTCTGCTCAGCGGGGAGCCTGCTTCCCCCTCTGCCTCCCCTCCCCGCCCCCCGCTTGTTCTCACTCGCTCTCTCTGTCCCAAATACACAAAGGAAATCTTTTTAAGAAAACCAGAATGGAAAGACGTGCCGCTGTCTGGTAGCACACGCTCGCCAAGTACGTCATCGATTAAAGGACTTTACCGATGTTTTACAAAGAACTCTTGAAACTCCACAAGAAAACAAACAAGCCAGTAAAAATGAGCCACGGAAGAGTGCAAGGACTCCTCCCCAGAAAGCCTGCGCGGATGGGACCGTCCGCCCACGGGAAGGGGCGCCCCTGGGAAGGAGCTCAGGTCCCCGGCCTGAGGGAGATGCAGGCGGAAACCAGCACTGGGAGATCAGCTAAGATGGAACATGCTGACGGCTGCTGGGGGGCAAGCGGGGCTCTGCTACGGGCCCCACGACGTGGGGCGGTGACCGCCGGGGAAGGCCGCGTGGCGGTCTCCTGCCACGTCCCAGCCGCGTGCTCCCACCGCTGCACTGGCCCGAGAGGAACAAAGGCAGGTTTCCACACGGAGCTCTGGGCACGGGTGATCCTGGCTGCTCTATCAGGGACACCCAACCCTACAAACAACCCAAAGGTGCCATGCACGGCAGATGGACAAACCGGGGCTGATCCCCAGGTGGGACAGCCGCTCCGTAACGCGGGAAGGCACGACGGAGACATTCCCACACAGCTAAACGCGAAAATACTTTGCTCCGCCGAGGGAACGGATCCCGACCCAGAAAGGCGATGGACGGACAGACGCCGCCGTGGAGGAGGGCACGGGTACACAGCCAGGAACCGCACACAGCGTCACGTCCGGGGACAGCGCGAATCGGGGTGGCTGGGGGCCGTGGGGACACGCCATGAGGGAGGCAGAATTACCAAGGCTACGGGATTTCGGGGGACGGCAGCCGTGGTCATCTCCCCGACCGTAGGGACGGTGTCCACGTGGCTCAACGTCCCCGCGGAGGGGGACACAGCAGATCAAGGGACAACGGGGCTGAGAGCAGCCCGAGAAGCGAGATCCGTGCCTGGGAGCAGCAAAGAGGCGTCAGTCCCTAGAGACTCGCCCTGGGGACACAGCTCTGGGAGAAGCTGCAGGCCCCGCCCCGCATTGCCCAGACGCTCACCACCCCACGGACACGGGATCTCGGAGCCCGGGGGCTGCAGGCTCAGCCACAGCCCCCCGTGGGCTACAGCACGGACGTACAAATTCGGCGGCCACACAGAGTCGCCGTCCGGCCCGCGGAGCCCGTGGACCCCCCAGATGAGCGTGGGGGCTGCTGTTCATCCTGTGCCTCTGAAGTCAGGAGGGGCGGGGAGACTCCCTAAAACAAGAAGACTGGACAGACAGACAGCTGGGTCTTCCCAGGGACCGCCGGACGGTCAGATGGTCAGGCACTCCCCCCTTCTCCCGTGTTCCTGTCCCCACCCTCTCGTCCACAAGACGACAGCCCTGCTCTTCCCTAGGAGGGGAGCATACACCTTGGGCCCGAGTCCCCACCTGTGCGGGAGCTCCCCAAGCAGGAGCACTTACCGACACGTGGTCCCGGCCACTGCCACCGCCGCCCGACACGGCTTTCGCCCCCGCTCGGCCAGACCTTCCGCTGAGACACAAGAAAAGTCAGATCGCGGCGGGAAGCTGGGGGTCTCCAAGCCACCCCCGACGCCCCCATCCCTCTCCGGGTCCACACGCTTCCAAACACGGGGACGGCAGGCACGACGTGTACCACGCAACGTGTAGGAACAGTGGCCAGCGGAGGGAAGGCGGCAACGAGCCCCAGACAGTGCCCAGGGACGGGGAGTGGCTCGGCTCAGAGAGGCACGTTTCTGCAAGGGGGGGCGGGTGTGTGTCCTATACCCCCAGCGCTCCCTGACTCTAAGTCAGTGTGCGTGGCTCGGGGTGTCTCACGGCAGGAAACGCCTCCCATGCCATCCACGACGCGTCTTACAAACCACGGACACTTAGCAGGGCCGACGATGGAAGACTTCCCACGCCCAGCGAAAACACGAGGGGCCCTGCCCGCCCATCCTCCACGCAGGGCTCCCCTGGCCCCGGCACCCCTCCCCATCTTCCCTCGGCCCCGGTGGGCAGCATAAACGGGAGATGCTGGGGACTGTCTCCGGGGAGCGCTGCTTCCGCAGGAAGGTGAGGGGGAGGACGCCCAGCTCACCGGGGAAGAAAGCCCGCACCCTCTCCGCAGCTATAAGATACACCGACCATAGTAAAGCCGTGAAAAAAAATGCGTTACCTCATTATCCGCCGTTAATCCTCGCCACCTCCCTCCCCCACCCACCCCTAGAAACTGCTAGGAAGGCAGGCTCCGCCGGGGGGGGGGGGGCGTGCGGTGCCGTGCGGGGATCCAGGTGCCGGGGATCCAGCCGGGACGGCAAGCAGAGGAGAGCGGGGAGGGCCGTGTGCCGCGGAGAGCCCCACGCAGCCCTGCAAATGTGAGCTGGGCAGCTCCTCTCCTCCAGAGGACGGGGGCCTGCAGGAGCGGACCTGCCCACATCCGACGCCAGGTGGCGCAGAAGGACCACGCCGGGCGGCCGTGTGAGGTCCTGCCCGCCTCCCCCAGCACAGGGGCGCCCCCCCAGCATCTCAGACCCAGGCCCTTCAAAGACACGCTCCGCAGACAGAAGACCCCGGGTATTCCCGTGGACTCCCTCATCCACACCCTCTGTGCCTGGCGGTCTCCAGCCGTGGGACGGAGGAGCGGGGCGGGGGGGCGGGGGCGAAACAAGGAGCCACACACGCAGCCCACGAGCCACACACTTGTGCACTCATTAGGGCAACTCTGAATCCACGCCCAGGGACATGGCGTCCAGGAACCAGGGCCGGCCCGGGGCTTCCCGAGCGACCCAGAGTCCACAGTCTGCGTCTGCCCGTCGTGTCGCACACCAGGGCCCCGCATCTGCATTTCATTCTCCCCGTGGTCCCCTGGCTGGGCCATCTCCGGCCACCTCGAGGCAGTACACCCACCCCCACATCGCCACCCACGGGCTCTTCCAGGCTACGTCCCACTGTCGTCCTCTCCCACCTTGCCGGGGGGGAACCAGGACCCCTGCCATCGTCTCCCCAAACTTCAGATGCCACAGACTCCACACACGCTCGAAAGGAACATTCCACCTTCTGGAGGAAGGAGAACCCCATCGTGACTGCCTGCAACCCCAAGCTGCTTGGGGTTTTTCCCGGTTACGGAACGGATCCCCGTCTGAACAGGATGGGAGCCCCACTGGAGCCAGGCCGCCCGTCACCCTCGGCCGGACCCGGGGACTGTGCAACCCTGCCCCACACCGCATTCACCCCAGAGGCTCTGATTCCCAAGCACTCCTGGGACCCCCAGGGCCACCCCCGGGCGACCAGCTCAGCTTTCAGAATCCGCCCAGGCCAGTCAGGCCCCCAGGCAGCCCGGGAATGCCCAAAGTCAGCATCCCACGCCCAAGGTGCGCTCAGAGACCCTCCCCCTCAAGCACTGAGCGACTCTGTCCTGCCAGGCAAACTTCCAGACTCCTAAGTCCTGCCTAGGGCCCCCAAGGCGGGCTCCCGGACCCCCAGGGATGGGACAGGACTCCCACGGCAGGGCTCAGGACTCCCGGTGCTCCGCTTGCCCCCTCCCCCACAAGGCAGGGTCTGGAGCCCCTGGCCCACACCCCGGGCTATCAACCCAGACTTTGGAACCCCTGGGGCCGGACGAGAATCTCTAAGGCAGAGTTCGGGCCCCCACGGCTGGTTCGAACCCCAGAACCTGAACCTCTGTGCCACACTTGGACGACCAACACAGACTTCACGACACCCACCTGACCCCCCGCTGAATTCGGAACCTCCAAGCCGTGTTCAGGAACCCCCCCACTCCCCGGCCAGTCTCCATACCCTACTGCAGACTTCAGGACCCCTCGGAACAGCTCCGACGCCCCCAAGGAAGTGGCTGGGATCCCCAGAGCCGCACTCGCAGCCCCAAGGCAGTATATGGGATCCCCTGGAGGGATCTGCAGGGCAGCACTCAACCCCTCAGGTGAAGTTCGAGACCCCTGGGGCAGCCCTCAGACCTCCACCCAGGGTTCAGGACCCCGGGGCAGCACTCTGACCCCCATGCAGGATTTGAGACCCCCGGGACAGCACTCGGACCCCCAAGGTAAAGTTTGGGATCCCAGGGGCACTCATTAGGGCAACTTTGTGCCCCAGGGGCAGCACTCAGACCCCCACAGCACAGGACCCCAGGGCAGCCCTCGGAACCCCACGCAGGGTTCGCGACCCCTGGGGGAGCACTTGGACACCCAAGGTAAGGTTTGGGACCCCCAGGACAGCCCTCGGACCCCCACAGCAGGGAAGCCTGGCACAGTACTCGCAGCCACACGTAGGGGAACCCCAAGGTAAAGTTCGGGACCCCCGGGGCAGCACTTGGAACCCCCCATGCAGGGGACCCCCATGACACGGTTCAGAACCCCTGGGACAGCACTTGGACCCCCACGGCAGCGGACCTCCACACAGAGCTCTGACCCCCGGGGCAACAGTCGGACCACCCACAGCAGAGGACCCTTGGGGCAGCACTCGGACCCCCACGACAGGGTTCTAACCCCCAGGTTAGCACTTGGACCCCCACGCGGAGCTCTGATCTCTGGGATAGCACTTGGACCCAATGGCAGAGGACCCTCGGGCCAGCACTACGACACCCAAGCATGGCCCAACCCCCAGGGCAGCACTCGGACCACCACGCAGGGCTCTGACCCCCCAGGACAGCACTCGACCACCACTCAGGGTTCTGACCCCTGGGGCAGCACTCGGACCCATGGCAGGGGACCCGCGGGGCAGCACTCGGACCCCCACACAGGGCTCTGACCCACAGGGCAGCACTCGGACCCCCATGCAGAGCTCTGACCCCCGGGGCAGCACTCGACCACCATGCGGGGTTCTGACCCCTGGGGCAGCACTCGGACCCATGGCAGGGGACCCCCGGGGCAGCACTCGGACCCCCACGTAGGGCTCTGACTCCTGGGGCAGCACTTGGACCCCCATGACAGTGTTCTGCCCCCGGGGCAGCACTCGGACCCCCACAACAGTGTTCTGACCCCTGAGGCAGCACTCGGACCCCCACGCAGGGCTCTGACCCCCGGGGCAAGAC